TACAGTATAAATATGGATATTCATTTTGAGGTGTACTATTTAAGGGTAATTAAATTATTAGTGTTTTAAACAGAGGTAATCTAAAAAAAAAAGGCAAAATATCCAGTATTGGCTGGTCATATATTGTTTCAAAGTGAAACTTATGCTTCAATGGAAGCAAGAAAATTAATTATCTTGGTCAATGCATAATCAGAAGTTATTTTTAATTTTACACCTTATTTTTTAGGTTATTTCTTTCACTTTGTATATGTTCAGTTTCAAAAAAAATTTTTAAAGTTACAAAGAAATCCAATCTTCAGTGTGGTCTTAAATTTTTAGCCACTACCATCCCAGTAGGCAGAGGACATCAATATAACGTCAGGTTGACGCTGGACTCATGCGACGAACAACCGTTGCATTTTGGTTGAGAATGAAAATCGGGTTGACATCAGTATTTGACACCAATTTGACATTGATTTAACGTTGGATTTTGGTTACGCAACCTAAAAATAACAAATATTAGTATTGGACATCAAATTAACATTGACATTAGACGTTGAATTGACATTGAATTTTGGTCACCCGACGTCGCAACCGAACTTTAATCAAATATCAACGTCTTATGACGCCGTGTGCCTGCTGGGATATGTAAATATATACGCAGGTACATATGCAGATCTTCTCTAACTTTCATGCACTTGTAGTATACAGGATATTAAATGACAGGCAACTTCCCATACAACGGCTCCATCTGATCGAGGTCACGTCCACTGAGTCAAGAATGACAAAGGATAGAAATTATCCAAATGGACACAACAATAGTTGAGCATACTGTCTGCTCCAGCAGGTGCTTCTGGCCGAATTACAGGGACTCCATAGCAACTTTTGTTGAAACCCTCCAACATTGTATTTTGTGCGCCCAAGCAAGCAGGGACTCGGGCGGTGCAGACTTGCACCTAGTGGGAGCGCACAATCTCTATTTAGAGCCACTGGTTTGTGTGATTCGTTGAAAGAACTAATCTAAATTTACTTTCTTCCGTAGGAGGAAAAAGAAATTTGGAAGAAAGTGGGATTCTATTAGGTTTCTAATTTGGTTTGGCTTTCTCATTCTCTCGCTCTTATTCATAACAAACTCATAAAAAATTAATAAACATGCCGTTTCGTATTTCTTCTATCACAAAAAGTGCTACATTTGCGAAACCTCAGTATCTCTTAGCTTAACAAATTTGCACTGCATCTCCACAAATGCATTACGACTCATTCAATTAAGTGGATCCAGATGCTTTGCAGACCAGTGAGCAATGACCACACGAACACATACTTTACTGCTTGCAACAAAAGATGTTTCTGGGAAGGAGACTTAGAAAACTGAATTTTCTGCTCCACGATAAACCCTCAAAGTGGCCACATCACTGCATAAACGTCAACTCATTTAGGTTAACATAGAGCACAGAACGGACATACATTCAACACTTGCTGCCAGGCATGTTAAATGATAAGCTTAGATTTATGTGGACTTGATAGTATATCTGTGAAAAGCTCTCTTTGGGCCACAGGGTGGTTGTATGTACGTTTAAGCTCTTGGCAGGACAGCTTCTGGTTGCTGGAATTCTCATCTGGTCCAGTTCCTGCCGTTGGCGGTCATCCAAAGAATTGAGCTCAAGGCGGAGTTTAATCAGATCTGATCACGATGAAATGGACGATTATATTATATCCAGCTTGTCTATGCAAACATAAAGTGCTTAAATACAATTTAGGAGTGTGTTGTTGATCTATTTGGGTGAGGGATCTCTTTCCAGCCCCAGATTTATGTCATCCATCCTGAGGCTCAACACATTATCTGGACTTAGACAGTTACATTTGCTGGAGATAACAGAGTACAATACTCTTTCTGTCCTACTATCTGTTGGTCATATCGTATTTCTCTCCCTCTCTAATTCTTAGCTGTTTGTGACCATAAGAAGAGTAGAAACTGTGTAAGTGACTCAAGATGGTTTAAGAAGATATGTTAGACTAATTGTAACACTGGGGCCTGATTTTAACACTTTTTTGCTTTAATGGCTCAGTAATGTGTTGATTTGTATCTGTTTATTTAGTAGCTATTTAATTATTTATTAGCTATATATTTAGCTATTTGCTTACTTTATCTCAAACTTTGATCTAGAGCCAGATTTACTAACAGTTTGCGCCAGCGCAAACCATCTTTTGGCGTTAAAATAGTACTGTCAGGCTACTAAAGACGCGAAGTGAAGAATTAGCGCTGAAAAGGCGTGGACAGTTATTTTTGCGCCTGACCTTATTGAATATGCATTTATAGGAGTTTCCCTTTTAGACGCAAAATTTATGGGAGGAGAGTATTAAAATGAATGTCTCAAAGCAGGCGGTAATTTGCGGTGCTCTTGGTAGATTGCACTGGTCATGATGGAAATGATCTGGCTGCGTGTGTGTTCTTTAATGTGCGCATTGTCAGTAATTACATGGCGCTATAGTTACAACACACCCACTACCAGGGGTTGCAACACACATTTAATTGCATTTATTTCATTTATTTTGAGATTGTTTTCAAAAAAATATTATTATTTTATTTTTATTCATTTATTCATTTATTTTTTTTAATTGATACTTTTTATACCAACCTCCATCAAACAATTCGACTTCATTTTACACATTTTATAAAAAATAAATAAATAAAAAAGGTTAATAGAATTATTGGACAAATGCGTAAAATATAGGCTAACAATAAAATAAAATAAAAAATAAGACTGCTTTGTGTAAAATAACTGTCCTGGACACTGTCCCATTTTAAACATTTTTTGTACTTCTAAAAGAGATCAAAGGGAACAGTAGTGTTACAACTCTTCTCATCTGCTCAGCCATTCTCAACCACATACATTTTGTAAGCATTTAGGTAAAAATTATAATTGTACCACCTTTAGTTCAGTGTTATTTTTCACCTTTTCCCAGGTGACCATCTGTAGTGCAAAGCCTGCCTTCAGCAGCACTTGGATGTGAAGGGATAATCCTGGTTTACAGATTAGACAAGCAGGCTAATTTGCGTATTCCCTCAGTCTAAAGCTTTAGGTAGTTAGCGAGAGGACAACAACATACTAGATGTGTTTTCACTGATTCTTGTTTGACATTTTGTCTATGGAGAACCCAGATTTTCTCTTGTAGAATATTGTCCAACTCTGGCTGGTATCTAATGTTTGTGGAGCTTTCTCTGGACGCCTAGTTGTCTTGGCTCTGTGGAGATAAAAAGGAAAAGGGTGGATGTGGGAAACTGTGGTTGAACATCCCAACCTGGACTGAAGTTGAGATACTTCTGTCAAGCACAGGATGATTGCATACGTAGACTGCCTCTCTACCGAACCAGCTGGGAAATGCTGGAATAGGACCTACTATGAGGACGAAGATGAACTTCTTCCTCTTTATACTCGCAAACTACACCTCCAGCCCAAGACGGAGGGCAGCCTTCGCCGCAGACTCCTCACCTCCAAAATACATCAGCAGCAAGATGCACTATGGGCGCCAAAACCCTGGGCAGGACCACCAGCTCGAAAGGGCGTCCCACTGCAGGGCCACCCCAACTACACTTTCAGTCCATCCTGCCAAGACTGGAAAGGTAGCGCTTCAAATCTAGTTTGCTCTCGTTCATCAGAAGAACATTTGTTTTGTAGCTTAAGTGCAAAAGCTGGATTTATTCTCTCACTTTATATTTTCTGTTGGCATAACAAAGAATGGCCAGTAGTATTAGCAGGTGTTAAAACTTCAGAGATAGACCCTTGATGGGTTTTGACAAGTTTTTGGTGGCGAAAAGTAGAAGTGCGATGATTAAAGTGTAGTTTAATGTGTTGCCCAGTTTGAAGTCTGGAACAAGGCAGGCCATGACAAGTCTAGTGCGGAGATACACAATAGCAGCAAGTGTTTCTGAACTAAAGAGAGATTTTTTGATAATCTGCTCCATAAAGAGAATACAGGAATGTTCAATGAGATGTTCTTCAATTTAGGTTTTAGCTGTCTTTAAAGAATATTTCACAGTAAACGTCAAATTTGTCACAATTTTCTTACTCTGATGTCATTACAAACTGGTAAGACTTTCTTTCTTCTGTGGAATAGAAAAGTAAATATGCTGAATAACATACTGACCCAAATCTGATTCTCAAGAAGCCAGTGGGCCTATTTGCTCAGATTAAACCCACTGCATCTGAAGTTAAATCCAGCACTAAATATGTGTACATATTGCATGTAATATTAATCCTTTTTCATATGCAGTCTTAGCAGAATTGCGCTCTAACGTTAATTTGCCCTGTTTAATAAATCTGGCCCATAGTTTTTTTTTTCACATCTATATGCTGCAAGTTAAAGTTGTTTTGAAATCTACAATTTATCCCTAAATCATGTAAATTACATGGCACAAGGAGTGCTATAGTTACAACACACCCACTACCAGGGGTTGCAACACACATTTAATTGCATTTATTTTTTATTTAGTGAGATTGTTTTCAAAAAAATATTATTATTTTATTTTTATTCATTTATTCATTTATTTTTTTTAATTGATACTTTTTATACCAACCTCCATCAAACAATTCGACTTCATTTTACACATTTTATAAAAAATAAATAAATAAAAAAGGTTAATAGAATTATTGGACAAATGCGTAAAATATAGGCTAACAATAAAATAAAATAAAAAATAAGACTGCTTTGTGTAAAATAACTGTCCTGGACACTGTCCCATTTTAAACATTTTTTGTACTTCTAAAAGAGATCAAAGGGAACAGTAGTGTTACAACTCTTCTCATCTGCTCAGCCATTCTCAACCACATACATTTTGTAAGCATTTAGGTAAAAATTATAATTGTACCACCTTTAGTTCAGTGTTATTTTTCACCTTTTCCCAGGTGACCATCTGTAGTGCAAAGCCTGCCTTCAGCAGCACTTGGATGTGAAGGGATAATCCTGGTTTACAGATTAGACAAGCAGGCTAATTTGCGTATTCCCTCAGTCTAAAGCTTTAGGTAGTTAGCGAGAGGACAACAACATACTAGATGTGTTTTCACTGATTCTTGTTTGACATTTTGTCTATGGAGAACCCAGATTTTCTCTTGTAGAATATTGTCCAACTCTGGCTGGTATCTAATGTTTGTGGAGCTTTCTCTGGACGCCTAGTTGTCTTGGCTCTGTGGAGATAAAAAGGAAAAGGGTGGATGTGGGAAACTGTGGTTGAACGTCCCAACCTGGACTGAAGTTGAGATACTTCTGTCAAGCACAGGATGATTGCATACGTAGACTGCCTCTCTACCGAACCAGCTGGGAAATGCTGGAATAGGACCTACTATGAGGACGAAGATGAACTTCTTCCTCTTTATACTCGCAAACTACACCTCCAGCCCAAGACGGAGGGCAGCCTTCGCCGCAGACTCCTCACCTCCAAAATACATCAGCAGCAAGATGCACTATGGGCGCCAAAACCCTGGGCAGGACCACCAGCTCGAAAGGGCGTCCCACTGCAGGGCCACCCCAACTACACTTTCAGTCCATCCTGCCAAGACTGGAAAGGTAGCGCTTCAAATCTAGTTTGCTCTCGTTCATCAGAAGAACATTTGTTTTGTAGCTTAAGTGCAAAAGCTGGATTTATTCTCTCACTTTATATTTTCTGTTGGCATAACAAAGAATGGCCAGTAGTATTAGCAGGTGTTAAAACTTCAGAGATAGACCCTTGATGGGTTTTGACAAGTTTTTGGTGGCGAAAAGTAGAAGTGCGATGATTAAAGTGTAGTTTAATGTGTTGCCCAGTTTGAAGTCTGGAACAAGGCAGGCCATGACAAGTCTAGTGCGGAGATACACAATAGCAGCAAGTGTTTCTGAACTAAAGAGAGATTTTTTGATAATCTGCTCCATAAAGAGAATACAGGAATGTTCAATGAGATGTTCTTCAATTTAGGTTTTAGCTGTCTTTAAAGAATATTTCACAGTAAACGTCAAATTTGTCACAATTTTCTTACTCTGATGTCATTACAAACTGGTAAGACTTTCTTTCTTCTGTGGAATAGAAAAGTAAATATGCTGAATAACATACTGACCCAAATCTGATTCTCAAGAAGCCAGTGGGCCTATTTGCTCAGATTAAACCCACTGCATCTGAAGTTAAATCCAGCACTAAATATGTGTACATATTGCATGTAATATTAATCCTTTTTCATATGCAGTCTTAGCACACGCTTGTTTAGAGCAAAGTTTTAGTTTGGGCCTTATATTGAAAGATTGTAGAGTGTGTAATGTTGACTAAGCCTCAAGTTCTTGGCAGACGACATAGCTGATTTCTTAGGGCTGTGTTAAAATCTCATCCCATCCACCAGGCAAGCTGCTCCCTTCACTTACATCAGATGTGCAGACAGATGTCTCTGAACAAAACATATTGACCTACAGTTAAAATTCAGTTCTTGATTCGCTTTGGATCATTCTCAAATCATGTTGGAGAACATGCTCTTAAGGTTTTACACAAACTTGTGGCATTCACTACGTTCAAGTGCTACTGTCAGTAAAGCAAGAACTATACCAAATATGATTGTACATTGTTCTAAAATCAACTGTCCTAATATGTATTATAATAATGGTTTGTAACTGTGTTTGTAGGCAGTCATTTGGATTCAGCTTCTCTTCAGACGTGTTGGACAGTAGCACATACTTATTTAGTGAGGTGGTCTACAGTCCATACGGTGTGGTAAGCACTTCTAATGCGGTCTAATTAATGTAATTACTTTCAAATAGGCTTTGTGCTACACACAGCTGCTCAGGGAAGCACACACACATCTCGCACTCACAAACATGCACACCTCTTTCTCTATGAATGTCACTACAACGGGGCACTGACCTGCACTTCCTAGTGTTATAATGTTTTTGCCATCAAGTTTCCAAGAGACACTCCCTTCCCCTCTCAAGTGTCAGTTTATGAAATGCTGAGATACTATGTAGTGCCACAAGAGGGCACCATTCTTTTTACATTGCAGATTCATTATTTATTTTCAGTTTAAATTAGGGCTGCACGATTATGACAAAAATCATAACTGTCGATTATTCCCTTGCAATTTTAATTGCGATTATTAATCACGATTATCACAATTTACATTGAATGATGTTTATACCATTGTTTTATGCAACTGCATGCCTTATTTTTATATGAAAATAAACAAGCTGAAACTGAACTGAAAAACTTGTAGTGCTTTTCTATAGTATTAAGCCTCAAATGTCAACTAAACATCGGATTGGTTTCTTCTTTAAATTATAAAAAAGTAAAAATATGAATGGTATTATAATGTTATACTAAAACTAAAATTAAAATAATGGGAAAAACCCTTAAGATAACATGTAGAAAGAAAAAAACGCATCTTAAGCACGCAGAATAACATAAGTGGACTTTGAACGATTAATTGCCACTTTGAACAATTACGTAATTGTGGCATCCATAATTGTAATCGCGATTAGAAATTTGATTAATTGTGCAGCCCTAGTTTGAATGTAATTTTTTTTTTTTTTTTTTTAAGGAATCTGAGAGGACTCGGACCTCAGTTCACCCAAAAATAAAAATTCTGTCATCATTTACTTGCCCTCATGTTGTGCCAAAACTGTATGACTTACTTTCTTCTGTGAAACACAAATGGAGAAGTTTAGCAGATTGTTCATACTGCTCTCTTCCATACATCAAAGTGAATGGAAACTGAGGCTGTCAAGCTAAAAAAAAAAAAATTATAATAATTAACATCCCATTCAAAACTTTCTAATTGGTAAGATTGTTGTATTGTTTTTAAAAAGAAATATCTTATGCTCATTAAGGCTGAAAAATACATTAAAAACAGTAATATTGTGAAATATTATTACAATTTAAAATGCCAGTTTTCTATTTTAATACAATTTCAAATGTCATTTATTCCTGTGATGGAAAGCTGAATTTCAGCAGTCATTACTCCAGTCTTCAGAGCCACATGATCTTTCAGAAATCATTCTAATATGCTGATTTTCTTCTCAAGAAAGATTTATTATTATTATTATCAGTGTTGAAAACAGCTGCTGCACACACACACATACATAGAATTCATAAAACGAACCAGTGACTTAGAAGTGTGTATAATTTCTATAAAATTACTTCAAAAGCAAAACATCTGATATCAAAATCAGATGTTTAGATCAGTCTGGGATGTCTGGGAATAAGTCCAAACACAGTTGTCTCTCATGTCTGCACACATGGTATCTACAACTCTTTTACAGCACATAAAAATTGTCCACTACAAAACTCTAACAAATCTATGCAATACATATAGCAATTTTGTAAATCAAACATTAACAAAAACATATTTAGTACTCAATAAGATGAGAATAGAAGAGAGTTTCTTTATGCCAGGTTGTAAAAATACCATCCCAAATCCCAATATGAGCTCAGGAGATGCTATAGGGGATCGTATTTCTCATTGTGCTGGAACTGGCCCAGTTTTCTGACACAGATATTGGCACACTTTGGAGCTGATGCTGGGACAGACATGTTACAGATCAATATGTCACATATGTTTGAGCAGACACAGTAGAGTGGCTCGCTGCTGTATTATTTATCAGGCCTGTGTCTGGGTGTGACTCGAGTGATATTTTAATGCTCCGCACTTAGAAATCTGAATGTCTGTTCCTCCTTACTGTTCTCCAGTGAGAGAGAGAGATATTGTTCATTTGTGAATCATAGAAAGAAAATTCAGTGTCTATCTAAAGTGATGAATATTCCAATCTATCTTTATGTGTCCTGGTAATATAATTTGAAAACGTGAGTGTTATCTATCAAGAAATCATAAAAACATATAAATAAAATTAAGTTACTGAAGTTTTGTTTGTGTTTAGAAAAATGTCCAAATGTTCAAACACTGCATTGAATTAAAGAATTCATTTATTTACAAAAAATCTTACTGACTTAAACATCTCAATCTAAACTGTAAATGTACTATTAAATGTAACTTTAAAAATGCAAAACACATAATAAGTAAGCTGTGGTTAAATAGATTTTTCGGTGATCTTGCTTTCATATACTTAAAATGAAATAATTCAAAACACTTTAATAGCAACACCCTGGCAATCTCCCAGAATACCCTAGCAACCGCATAGCAACACCTTAGAAACCAGCCAGAGTGCCCTAGCAACCATGAAAAAAAACATCTCTATCCAATCAAGTATCAGATATAAAGTGCATCCTTACATAAATGTGAGGTAATGACCAGTCTGTCTTGCTTGAATATAGGTGAAGGTGTTTATGTGCATGTTGTGTGTGTAGTTATAGGCTTTTATTAGAGCTGGTCTGCTTTGTGCTGACACAAGAGCTTTCTTCACATTCTGAGCCAATGTCCTGATCTTATTGGCTTACAGCTAGAGCTGAACCTGTGGCTCTGCAGTGGCTGAGGTGATGCTGACCTTCTTGCTATCAAATGATCACATAAACCATCTTTGCTTAGTTCAGTAGATGACACATAACATCGTCTTCTTTGACCAACACAGCAAATGTTTGAATCTGTAAGTCAGTTCACATATGTCTTTCAATTTAAACTAAGAAGCATTTGCACATCAAGTGCCCTTGAAAATCAGCCGTTCCTCTTCACATGCTCCACTCAGGCAATATTGTGTGTGGGTCTTGTTGATTTAGAATTGAGCCAAGATGTACAGCCCTTGATGGATTTTATCACCAAATTGAAACACAGCTACCCTAGTAACCATAACCAGGTCATGTAAGAGTCAGGCACAAGGGCTTTTGTTGTGTGTAATCAGCCGAGATAGAGCTCCAGCCTCATACAGACTCCGATTCTCTTGCATATCCATGTTTATTTCGTGTCCATGCAAGCTCTGTCTTACCATGCAATCTTTTTAATGTTGTGATTTTATTGCTATGCCTACTTAGTAATTATCATGAATTCTAGTAGTCAGCAGTATTGTCTTATTGCCTTTATTTTGATGGTCATAAATAGTCACCCACCCAGTAATAAAGCAATAAGTTAAGAGAGATACTGTTTGTTACACTGCCTTAGGAGACTTATTGCGTTCATAAAATGGTGGAAATTTATTAATGATGATAATCACTTTTTCCACCAAGTAATATAGGCCATTAGCTTAACTACAGGCTGTTTATGAAGCAATGTAGCAACTTGAATGTTCACCACAAGCTTAAATATATCAGCTATTTTACAGTTTACAGGCGAAACAGTAAATTTAAATGTACTGTAAAAGCCTTTCTGAGGAGAAAGCACTTTAAATAGTAAAATACACTTGATTTGCCTGAGTGCTACATGCTTACTATGGCTGTTGCTATGCACTTGCTAAGGTGCTGTGGTTGCAAGGGTGTTGCTAGCAGGGTCAGAAAATTTAATTTTCCATTAAGGGGCACTTTTTACATTTGTGAGGGCAGTTTTTATCACCACCTTAATGTCTTAAATGTCAAATACTTACATTTAACCAAATACTTAAATCAATCAGAATACTTTAAACTGTTGCCAATAACAATTGACTGTTTAAAATTGTATCTTATTTAAAAACAG